GCGTTGCTTTCCCCATTACCTCCAGAGAGCTGCGCTCAGTATCGTTGCCACTGTCATGAGGTAAATAAGCAATGAATTGGGGGGGTAGGGCTGCTCCTAGGAAGAATGCCAGATGTACAGTCCAGAGGAAATCCAATAGAGTCAAGAGTGTAATCAGTTTAACGGAGACAAGCGGGGAGCAAAGGGAAGAATGCGAGTGTGCGAGGCAGAGGGGAGAGACAGAGTCAATTAGAGTCAGGATGCAGGAAAGAGACGTGTGCAGATGTGTGAAGGAACAGCTCAGAGGGAAAGAGAATTAGAGGAGTTTGAGATGCCTGTTGCTTATTTCTAGCGCATCCCGTCAGGATCAGCCATCCTCTCCAGTTTTCCCCTCCGTGTCTGTCATGTGTCGCCTCAGTGCGGTTGAGCGTTAGCAGCCTATTACCCAGGGTCATAGTCGCAGTGGCTTCAAGGCTGACAAGTGCATCTGAAAGCACTCAGGCGACGCTGAGAACCACATTAAATTCTATTATTGCTGCGTAGTCACTTCATCCTTATTCAGCTGAAGTACAGGGAGGCAAATTTACCTTGCCAGAGACAGAGTTCATCTAATAGACGTGGCTTTATATCCTTTCCCTCTTTTCAAGGGAACAAAGCCGCAGTAACAAATGCAAACAGCGGGGTGTCATGTCGTTGGCTATTTCCCTCCAGTTCCTCTATTGTCCGCAGGTTTTTATAAATACATATTATTGTCACCGCACACACTGCCCTCTCTCGGGGTACCTCTGTGAAAAGCCTATTGTCAAGACGTAGTCATTTCCTCCACAATGCCTGAGCAAGCTGGCTCCATTTGCAGTAATGGCCCCGGCTTTTGGAAGAGTGTTGAATGGCCCCCGTGGTAAACATGCTGTAAGAGTGTGTGTGATCGTAAACCGGCCAAAGGTGGAGAGAAAGGGAACTTACTGAGGAAAACGGAGGAAAACGAGTTAGAGCAGGTTGATGGATCTGGAGTTTGAACTTTTTATCAGAGCATCCGGGAGTTTTTTTGGAAGCATTCACCGTCACCTCAGCACCTCGCATATCATCTTGTGAATATTGCTCATTCTTCCTCCTGTTTTTTCCCCTCTCTTGTTTTTCTATCTCCTATTCCTTTCCAGGATGTCTTCCAAGCGACCAGCCTCTCCATATGGGGGGACAGATGGAGAGGTAACCATGGCAACCAGCAGACAGCGAGTGGAGGACGATGAGAGCGAGGGACTGGGCGGTGTCATCCACCTCCCCCTGGCCTCCTACTGTGGCAAGGGTGTCCCCTCGCTCGCCCCCCAACCGCAACTTGGACAGCCCCCTGGTCACGGTAAGCGTTCAGCCCCACTTCCTGTCTCTTGAGTCGGGTGACACACCGGGACGCGGGTCATGTCTTTGAATTCTGAAAAATTTCCTAAAACTTTTTATTTGTTGCAAATACTAAAGCAGTTTCAAACAGCTGTTTGTTCTTTGTATATATTTTTATTTGACATGCATGAATATTTCTTTTAATTGGCAGAGGAGGAAAAGTGACATTTAAATATGCATTTAAAAAATTCCCTGTGTGTGTGTGTGTGTGTGTGTGTGTGTGTGTGTGTGTGTGTGTGTGTGTGTGTGTGTGTGTGTGTGTGTGTGTGTGTGGTTCCCTCGAGTCCGATCCATGCACAGTTGCGTGACTGCACATTCTGAAGAGCTGGAATGAGTCATTTTCTTGAGAGGATGTGTGACACTGAGTGTTTCTGCTGGATGCATGGCTCCGAATCAGGAGATGTGTTTCTGCAGCTTTTCTGTGAACGACCGGCCTAAGCTAGTGGAACTCTGGTTTCTTTAGCACTACTTTGGGTTTAAAGACCTTTGTGTGTGTGTTTGTTTAGCCTCTCTGGTTGAGCATCCCAAAAAAAAAAAAACACCACCAAAGTTACTTTGAGACAACTGTCGCCCTTTCCTCCCACGCCTATGATAAACGATCACATGCTATAAAACAATAAACAGCTCTTAGCAGTTGTAATGGAAAGCTAATTCTGTAATTAGCCATCTGATTAAGGCCCCTCCCAGGCTGGACTCTGCCTGTGTGGCAGGTGCTGACTGTAAACCAAAGTCCTGGGACGGAGGAGGGACACCGCACACGCGCCGGGTTTTATCTGCTGTTGTTGTGGACAGTGATTAGATTAATCTTGGTTCGTTTAGATCTGGAGCAGTCGGTCTTATCGCTGTGAGAGGAGAAAACTCTTCAGTGTCCAACTGATTTGTTGTTATTTCCTGGATGTTTGTGGGGCTTATCCAACTGCCCACTTATGAGGTTTTTTTGGAAGGATGGGGCTAATGGTGCCAATCCTCTTCACCGCTGACTGTCACCAGATGAAGAGTGAGGTGGACTAAATAGGGAGTGGGAGATTAACCACAAGCCGGGGGTGTGGGTGGGACCCCGGGGGGGTCAGGACGGGGTCTCGTTGTCAGAAAGCGATACGGGGAAAGTAAAAGGCTGAACCACGACTGGTCGACTTGGAAGTGAGTCAGCAGGGGACAGTTAGAGCAGAGTGTGTGTGTGTGTGTGTGAGTGCGGGGGGGGGGGGGGGGGGGGGATTACAGCTTTATCTTGTCGTAGTGAATTAGCACAGCGGCGGGGAGGCGCTCGGCTACACACTGACCTCTTCATTCCTTCCCCTCGCCTGCCTGTTCGGCTTTACCTGCTCCTCTGCTGCTACATTACCACACACACACACACACACACACACACACACACACACACACACACACACACACACACACACACACACACGCCTTGCTGACACCTAGTTTCCTCCTCAGTGGAACTCGGTTCAAGGACATCAATCAGTCCTAAAAAACCCCAGAAGTGATCAAGCAGGAAGTGACTGTACTTATGTAACTAGACGAGTGCGTTCTGCAGCATCTTTTCTCCTGCTTGCCTGATTTTTATTCTTTAATGTTTATGTTCGCAAATCCCTGCGAAAAACTGTTTTCACATCAGGCAGAGGCGAGCATCTTCTTCCGTCGACGTGCTAATGGACAAACACTAATTATTTCATTAACCGTCGAGATGCCCGCGTACGCGGCGGACAACTACAATGATATTTCATCAGGCGCTCTTTTCTCGTATTCATTTTCTTCTTCCCCCCTTTTCTTTTTCTGATTTTTTCCTACAATTTAAATGTGTGACTGCGTCCTCGTGCGTTCATGTGAATGTGACAGATTTAACACAGCCATTGAGCAGTCTTGAGACGCAGTGGTCACACTTAATTTCTCGTGCCAGCGATGCACTAATGAATCAACACACGCTTGCCTGTCAACAGCGAGGGGTCGTGGTAAAATATACTGGCACACATTTTAGCCAAACTGCTATTTAAAACACAGCAAATACAGCTGCATGCTGTCAGATAAAAACAACAATATTAATAGACAAATAGAATAGTTAATGACTGTTTCTCCTGTTTAAATACTCACCCATGAAGTGTTATTTTTTTCTGATTTAAGGCCGGTAAAGCGTGCGTTTGCCTCTGCCCGAGGGTCAAAACTGGTAGTCTGCGTTTAGCCGTGGCATGTAAAGGGATTTGCTGCATTTGCGTGTGTTTTGCAGTATTTCGGAGGTTTGTTAAGTAGTATATCATAGAGATTGGCAGCCCTGGCATAGACCTGAGTAGAACCCCGCTGCAGGGGACAATCAGCGCTATCCTCCTGGTGTGTGTTTATGTGTGTGTGCTCTCTCTCAAACAAGCAGCTGTTTCCAGCTTCTCCTACTTACCACATTGTCCACGCCTTGATCCAGAGCGACGCGCCGAGCATTAAATATCGTTTCTTCACGCGTACACCTTTCACAGCTCTAGACGTGTCAGGCAGCACACGGGCAGAAGACAGGAGGGAGTTTTTCTTGAGAAGGAGGAAGGGAAGTAAAACGACAGAGTTAGAAAGAAACACAAACAGCAGCATCTGTGCTGGCTGCAGGAAAAAATAGCGTTTTGATTTTTTTCCCTTCCCTTTTTTTGGCAAGAGTTAAGTGTTTTTTAACCAACCTCCCCTCACAGATGAGCTTAAGAAGACAAAAGTTGTTTAATTCGGTTCCATTGCAGAGGCAGTAAAAGGATAAAGAGAGTGAGGCGCAATTTTTACTTTGTTCCAGTCATTTGGAAGAGAATTGACATCTGCAAACTAAAGGCAGAACCGCCCACATTGCCAGGCTGCCGCATCCAGTGCATATAAATACATATATGCAGACACACACACACACACCTACCGGCTATGTGCACTGACAGTGTCACACATACATGCAGAGACATGGCAAGGCACACGAGACGAGGGCACGATCATTTACAGTGCTTGGAATTTCTGTTCATGAATAAATGCATGTTGATGAGAAAAGTTTTGGGACCGGTGTATCGGGCGTGAGGAGAGGAGTGTGTCGGTGAGCACACACCAGCTGAGTGACACCTATTTACATCAGAAAATCTGCCTCGTGTCTTGTCTTCCTTTTTTTTTTTGATCCCTCTGTTTTGGTCTCCGCGAGGCGCGTGGATTATATGCTCGGAGGTTGATAGGAAGAAAACATAAGCCATTTAAGTGCAGGATCAGGGGCTGTCTGTCGGAGTTCACACAGAAATAACGCCGTCGGCCCTAATGTACCCAGCCTTTGAAGAAGCCACGGCTCCCTGCTAATTCCGTTTGATTGGGAAATGACCTTCATTGTTGGTCGTAGGCAGATGACATCTCCCTGGCAGCTTTCTGACAGAGCAAAGAGATCCGACATCTCTTCAGCCCACAGCCTCCCCCCCATCCCACCCCTCTTCCAACTCCCATCCATATTCTTGTTCTGTTTGTTTTGTTTGTGCGACATCTTTCTCGAAAGAAAGAGCGCGGCTCTTTTAAGCAGGCACTGGATTAGATAAATGGGATGTGACAGGTGTGACCGTTGCCTCCAAGATGCCTGCCTTCTCTCTCACTCTTTCTCTCTGTTTCTCTCAGTCTCTCTCTCTCTCTCTCTCTCTCTCTTTCTCATGCACTTCTGTCATTTCCTCTAATAACACCACTTCTCCTGCTTTCTTAATTTCATGTTTTGCTCTTTTTTCATTCTCCCTTGACACGCTTTTCTCCTTCAGTTTCATTCCATTTACTTGTCATGGCGGAGCTGACGCAACTCACGATCATAAAGTTCCATATCTGACTCTCCAGAATCTGGAGAGGAGAGAGTAATATCAGGACCGAGTGAGTGATGGTCTGACACTTTCCAAGCACAGCACAGGCCCGAGCTGTAACCGTTGCTTAAACCTCCTCATACAGGACTGCTGCTGCTCGATCGTCGCTGTCACGATCTGTCCGCCTGCTACGTTGCATGTGCAAGAAGGAGAGAATTAGTGAATTATTGAGCGTGCTGACTTATTCAGAGTGTGGAGACAAAGAGCTGAAGTGAGAGAGTCAGGGAGGTGTTGAGAAAGCCAAGTGATAATGGTCTGCAATACCTCTCGTTTGGAGTTTGGCCACTCACAATGAAAGTATTGTCAAATCTGAAAACGCTCTCCTCTGGATCAACATTTCCACAGAAATATATTTTATTTCTTTGAAAGAGAAAAGAATAAACTCTGGAGTTATTTGTTGTTTTGATGATGTCATAGTGGACTGTGATCCATTGAGTTAATGATTAAATCGCCATGTTAATAACACCACTATGTATTTAATATACCTGGAGTACACTTCAGTCTCCTCCACCTGCACAAAAACCAGTGTGTGTGTGTGTGTGTGTGTGTGTGTGTGTGTGTGTGTGTGTGTGTGTGTGTGTGTGTGTGTGTGTGTGTGTGTGTGCTGCTGTCTCAGGTGGTGTGCCCTATACTGCAGTAAGATTAGCCAAAGATTAACCCCGTGGACCATTGACCCTCGTGTTCACAAGGCGCTGAGTTGACAGACAGGCTGGCTGATTGACTTACTCACTCGTTTCTCACTGCATTTACACTTCACCATACTGTAACGGGATTTTGACACTCAGACTTTGGTAGGTAATTTGCCGAATCTGAGGTTATATCACTGTCAGGATGCACAGTGTGATAAATTATATATACTGTAATTTCCAGACTATAGAGCACACCTCAATATAAGCCGCACCTACTAAGTTTTTAAAAAAAAAAACATGGAACTGTACTTTTATAAGCCGCACCGGGCTAAAAGCCGCAGATATCTACCGGATATCGACTGAATTGAAAATGTAGTTTAACTAAACGTAACTGAACTGATCAGTATCAAACAAAACAGAAAAGTTATTGATTAGTTTATTCATCGTCCTCCTGCGCACTGAAACCACTGAAGTCCTCTTCTTCAGTGTCGGAGTTGAACAGCCTCAGAAGAGCTTCGTCACAAACCTTTTCTGTGGCGATGTCAGTGTCGCTGTCCGTGTTGCTGTCATCATCCCGGGGTGAAGCTGGCTTGAATGAGTTCCTCCCGCTGCCGTCTCCAGCGCCGAACCTTGGATTCATTCATGCCAAGCTTACGTGCGGCAGCACTGTTTCCCCCCTTTACTGCCAGATCGATGGTCTTCAACTTAAATGGTGCATCATATGAACTCATACGTGTAGTTACCATGATGAGGGGGTATGGATTTGAAAAAAATTCTTCATCCGGCTGCTTGCATGCGCTAAATTAAAATGAGCACTTTCTTCGATTTCAACTTTTGACTTCCACCTGTTTCACTTTCTGCTAAAGCGCCCCCTGCAGGTGAAGGAAAATCTTCAGTAAAGCTGAACCTCATTATAAGCTGCATGGTTCAAAGCGTGGGAAAAAAGTAGCGGCTCATAGTCTGGAAAATACGGTACCTAAAAACATTCTCAGATGATGGCATTGGCAATCTCCGTGTCTCAGTTAATTGGCCGGAGTCAGCGTTAAGTCCGTAATGCTCTCTGTAGAAACAAACACAGGTTTTACTAGGCCAAAGATTAATGCGCTTAAAGTTACTTACTGTAGCATTCACCTGCCATCTTTAGTAGTAGCATAGTCAGAACCAAGCCAAAACCATACCAGGACCAAGTCAGAACCAATCCAGGACCAAGCCAGAACCAAGCTAGAACAAATCCAGATTCCAGACCCAATCCAGGTCCAAGGCAGGACCAATTCAGACCCAAATCCAAGCCAGGACCAAGACCAATCCAAGACCCAAGCAAGTCAGAGACTTTAAAGAGTCAAAACATTACAAAATATGAAAATATGAGTTGAAATTAAGTAAAAATGTTCAATAGAAATGTTAAAAATGACTGTTTTGTTGCCAGTCATTCAAACTTTCATAGTAAAGATATTGGAAACATTTGAAGGGAGCCAGAAGTTTGACACGGAGCTGCATGAATAAAAGATGTTGCTGCAGTTGTGACTGGTCGGGATGAAAGAAAATAACCAAAGTCCAGAATATACAAGACCTTGACCTGGACTACGTCGGTGCTAGCCCTGAGCTTCGTTGTTGCAGAGTTAAACAAAGTTTAAGTTTGAAAAGAAAACACCAAGTTTTGTTTGAAGCAGCAAACGGTAAATCTGCTGAAACCAGTTTCCAAAAGTTTGTTCAAACTTTTAACATGAAGCGGCGGATTAATTATCGTGACAACTTCAAACAAACAGAGATCTTTCCTTTAGCTCAAGACTGCTGCTGACATTGAGTTTGTTGTTTTCACGGAAACTATTTGGGATGCCTCCAAAGCTTTTTTCTTTAAAAAGAAATGCATTATGCTTTGATTTGTGCGTTTGCTGGAGTTGCACCCTCAGCATTGACTATCATGAATCTTGAGACAAAGTACAGCGGCTCTGAAAGTTGGGCTTCCATACTGTAGCATTGGACGTTTCTCAAAGCGAGCTGCTGAAGGCTTTGTGATGAAGAGTTAGCGTGACACTTTTAAGCGTGCGGAGCGTCTTACTGTTGTTTCATGTGCTCTTTCTGTTAAGTACCTCCAAGTCAGTCAAATGCAGATTCCAGAGGATGCGAGGGAGACAGAAGAAGTGTGCCCTAACTTGAGATAACTGGCCGGGGATAAAAGTTGCAGCACTGGGATATAAGAATGGGGAGATGGAGAGAATAAAGTGTGCAAGAGTTGGAAATGAGGCTAGAGATAATGAGTAGGATTGTGCCAGCTCCTCCCCTGTCTCCTCCTAATTTTCTTCATCTGAAGTTACCCTGTTTATTTCTACAAGTTTTCATCATTTTTTACTAATAAATCCACTTTTCTTTGCTAATCCTCTCTTTTACTTTTCCCTGCAGGAGCATGACGGCACCAAGGGGAGTTCATTGAGTCCTTACCCGCTTCACAATGCTACCTCACCAGGCAAAGAGGAGGGTGGAGGCGGGGGACGACCCTGCAGCGATGGCGGCTTGGCGACGGGTACCCTCGGGACCCCTGAGAGGCGCAAGGGCAGCCTGGCGGACGTTGTGGACACACTGAAACAACGCAAGATGGAGGAGCTGATCAAAAACGAGCCAGAAGGTCAGTGAGGAAGTCTAAATGTGTGATCTCCAGTCTCTGTGGCCAGGTGCCACACTTTCATCCCTATCTGCTGTCCGTTATTTCTTCTTCGTCTGAGTATCTGTCTTGTTTTTCCTGTTTCTTTCACTCTTGTGCTGCACTGAACCCACACACACACAGACAAGAGCAGAGCCTTTGTTTTTCCTGCATGCAGAGTGACAGCATCAGCTGCTCAGGCCTATTGTCCACTTTGCTTTGCATATTTATCACAACCTGACAAGAAAGACGTGTGCGCACATGTATGTGTGAGTGGTGTATGCTTGAGTGTGCTGTGAGAAAAAAAAATCTTGAAAATATATTTGAATGTATTAACAACTCTCCAAATGGCTCCTGGCTTTAATTCCAAGGAACATTCACTTGAGCCGAGTAGTCACACAGGAATAAATGCACCTTAGCACCTTTCTATTCTTTTTCTAGCCTCTGTGATAATTCATTTTGAGTCCTCAGACAAAGATTTCACACGCTAATGGGGAAGCTGAACCAGAGTTTTGGCCGGGGCTTGCATAGCTTAGCTCCTCGGCTATTCATTCTGAAAAATGTCCTCAGGCTACCAGCTGGAGTCCAGCAAAGAGAAAAATGTAGCCCATAGCCAACGCTAATCTCTACTGAGCAGATAAATGAAGCTTAGATCACTCTAATGCATGTAATAGTCATGATGTGATGTGGATCTCACCAACAGGTGTTTGTCTCCTTTAGAGACACAGAGACGCATGAAAACAGGATCTTTTATTGTTGCTTTGAAAACAAGATAATGAAAACAAAAGACAAGGTGCGCAATATCTATGTAAAACTATTTCTATTGCAGAGTCAACGAGCACATTATCTTATCTCTGCTTCAGGTGGATAAGGTGGTTTTATAAGCTTCATCTGACTACGGCCTTTAGCTCTCATTGGAGAGCTTCACAGCCAAGGATGGAGCAGCTAAGATGAGGACAGGAAAAGGATCTCAGGGCTGAGGGATGTATGGATAACAGCCACCTTCACGGCGAAGCGTCAGGGTTAGATCCTACAGGTTTAGGGCTGGAGGGATTATATCTGTAGTCTAGATTGGAAATGCCTTGGGAATCCCGTTGAGGGTGCAGGAAAAAGGACAATGAGCTTCCCTGCTAGGGCTGCTTCCCCCATGACCCGGACCAGGATAAATAGAATAAAGGGTAGAAAAGGGAAAACCCAGACTAAACCACTACTGATGTTGTGATTATAATGTTCAATAATGTCCCACTTGTTGTCACACTGGTGTGGGAAATTCCTTCTCCGCATTTGACCCATCCACTGGGGGAACGGTGAGCTGCAGGCACGGCCTCGCTAGGGAACTATTTGGTGGTTTACCCCCCTTTAAGTTTAAATCTGTGTCTGCTGAGCACTAAGGTTTGCACTCAAACATCCCTGGACATGGAGCCCGGAGCCCAAAAGGTGAAATGTGTGTTTGCCTTAAGCACAGATGCGTTGTGTGCGTGTTACGTTCCCCCTGCCACGTCAACAGGCTTTCATTTCAAGCTGTGATGTGCTAACCTTGTTTTCCAGGCTTTTTGTCGAGCTTTAAAAGCGGCCGCGACGGCTGGTGAGCTCTTGCCGTCTGGTTGTTTTTATTCCAGTCGATAAAGAGGCCTGTTGTGGTACATTTTATAAAAAAAAAAGGAAAGAAAAGAAAAACTGGACTGTTTGTCGAGCTGAGCTGTAATTGAGGTGTGTTTTGGGTTGTTCACTGCTTCGCTGGACCTCATGAACCGGCTGCACAGGAAAAAACGAGAGGGGGGAGAGAGAAAACAACAATAATGGATCTTTATGAGTCAGCCAGGGCAGAGTGAGAAAAAAGAGGGCGGTAGGACGAGTGAGAAGGAAAAGACAGAAGGTGATGCGAAGGAAAGCGATAGAGAGAAAGAGCAGTGTCTTCGCAGACCCCATTAGCACAGTGCCACGGTGGCGTGGCATCAAAACCAACCGGAGCATTATCTGTTGGGGGTTTAAATGAAACACACTAATAAAAGGCCCTCCAGACCCAACAAACACACAGGAAAAGGACTCAGGCCAAGCAGGAGAGAAAGGAAGAATGAGAAGAGGGTAAAGGAAAGCCGAGAAAAGATGAAGAGAGGCAGAGGGGAAATGGACGAGTGGAGGGGGGGCTATAGAATGGGAGATAGAAATCCTTTTTCTGTGCCCGGCTGCCTATTGTTTGTCTGTGTGGCTCACAAAGGCCATTAGCAGCAAACAGCAGGTTGGGATGAAAATTTAATGAATGCTTTAATCATTATGAAAGGCCTGGAATATTACTGCTCCCTCTGTCACACACACACACACACACACACACACACACACACACACACACACACACACACACACACACACACACACACACACACACACACACACACACACACACACACACACACACACACGCACACACACTGCTTCCAGCTGGATCAATGACACACACACATATTTTGGGAGCATTAGCACCAGGAGGGATGCAAGCAAGGGGACAAAGACACAAAATGGGTCAGAAAGCGATAAACATCTTGAAACAGAAGAGACGTGGAAGGCAGGCCTTGAGCTAAACATCACACATGCACATAAAGTCACCAAGTTTGAAAGATTTAGTCTGTGGCTAGCGCTGCTCTACTTTGGCTAGATGAATGGTGAGTGCTAGATACTGGGTCATTGTATCTGTATGTGTGTGTGCTGTTAAAGCCTTTGGGAGCACAAATACAAGAGTGTGTGTGTGTATTTGCATATGTATTTATGACAGACCATGTGTGCTTGTTGGGGCAAAAAAATGCATTTGCTTGCATTCACGAAAGGTAAGATAGGTAGGCGTGTGTGCATGCATGTGTGTGTGTGTGTATGTGTGTGTGTTGGCCTCTAATAAATGACTAGGCATCCTGTCCCCCATGGCCTGGCCCAACCAGGCTCCACTGCTCTCCTGCTCCCTCCATCCATCTTCTGTCTTAGTCCACCGGCCACCTGCTACCCGAGAGAGCCCACTTGCGCACGTTCCCTCAAACGCACACAGCATAATTTGTCGTCTTTAATAAATTGTCCAGAAGCAACAGGGAGAGGGTGAGGATGCCGTGACACTGGCTGAGGCTGAGTCCGGACTCGTGGCCGCTGGGTGGCTGAGCTGCTCATGCTGAAGTGCGTGTGTGTGTGATTACAGGGAATTATGAGAGCAGAGAGCAGAGCATCACAGGAGGCGCAGGGTCGAGAGGAGAGTCAGTGCTTAAGCCCAAGAGAGGTGGCTAAAGGAGTGCAGTCACACACACCTGGTCAGTTCCACTGGGCTCTTTGTTTAGCCTCCGGTGGCCTCCGTGGCACAGAGCATGGCCCGGTAATCATCTGTTAACCCAACAGCGGGAAAGAATGGACCGACAGACAAGGTAAATGCAAAAGCTGCTTCATAGATGTAGCAAAGCAAGACGAGGGGTATTAAGGGGAAGAGCAGCATTGCTAAATGGGGCGCAGATGTTCTCCTCGGCCCCTGGAGTGGTGCCTCCACTGCCCTGGACTTTCACCAGACTCTCAGCCTCGTTCCTCCTCTCCTCGTGTCGCCTGCATAGCAGCGCTGACTGTAAGTGGCTCACACATTAAGTGCCAGCTGAGCTCCATCTCTGGACCCGTCTGTTGACCCTCTGCTACCCAGCTACAGCTACCCGTCACTGGGGCTCCACGGCCGCTGGGACTTCTTCTGTTTACCTCCTTTTAGTATAGCCTCAGCTGGAAATGGGGATAAACAAAGGTTCTCAACAAGAACGTGTGTGCACGTTTAGGGAAACTGCTGGCCATGTTTATCTGGCGGATGCTTCTCTTGACGCAACCTTCTAAATTTAAACCACTTGTCTGACACATTTCCTGCAAAATCTTTTAAAAAAACAACTAAAATAAATGATTGCCTTCCACTTGGATTGGTGGCTGGTACATTTCTAGATATGCTGTCGGCGATCTGATTCTTTAAAGCTGCTTCTGCAGTGGAAACCCATTCAGAAGGACTCGGCCCTTAGTCATGATGTGATGTCATTCAGTCTGATTTTGGTCTACATAGAGTTACAGACGATTGGTACAGTAATAGAAGTATCTATAGAAGATCCACTTGTCATACATAAACATGTTTACACCTTCTGGACTTTCTTCTACTTTTTAGAGAAGATGCCTTAAGAATAAAAAAAGCTGTTTGAAGATGTTCATCAACATCTATTCTCCAAACTGCTTTGGTGCAGGCTCTATCCATCCAGGTGCATGGCTGGGTTCACATCTTCACATAGCTTCGATTTGGACTCACAAAAATAAACTAATCCTGCACATACATATACAAGCCACATTATCTACTCAATATTACCAAAAGTACCAAATCAGTGATGTTGGGAGTTCCAATAAAACATGGATGGGCAGGTGTGGTGCGGAGTAACCTGACTGGCCTGCAGCGAGACCTTTGGTAGGATTTAGTGAAGAGACCCTAAGTCAGACCTTTTTCAGTGTCTGACCTCACAAAACCAGATAAATGGTCTACGATTCCCATAACCACACTCCTAAACCTGGTGGAAAACCTTCTCAGAAGAGTTTATAGTTGCAAAGGTTCCACATTAGAACCTACAGATTACAAACGGGGTGTAAAGCAAGGCGTCCCTATACTTTTGGCAATAATGTGAGCCCTACCAAATAGCTACGTGGCCTCATTACATCCAGGTTGCTCCCCAGTATTATTTCCAGCACTAAAGTGTCATCTCAGTGACAGATGTCCACCTGCACACACCCACACTCACACACACTTACACCACGCCACTTCATCCATTCTCAAGGAACGAAGGGAACCCTGCGTTGGGTTTTAGAGAGCACTGAGGCATTTTATAGGACAGCACTTAGGCGAGACCATTGTGCCACACAAACACACGGTGACCGGAGCTCCCTCACGCCTCCATACACTCCAATGGGCAACAATGGGAAGGGCGTACATGTCCTGCCAAGAAGAA